GGGGATAAATAGAGGGAGGTTTACCCAAGGCGTTAGTTTTGGCAATGTCCGGTTTACAGGCTACATGTACCCCTTAATAAAGAAGTATTTATCTGACCCAAGCCTGGTTGTGTGAGAATGCTTCATAACAGAGTTGGACATCGTGGACTTGACATCGTGGTACTGAAACACTTGATGACTTGTGGCAGGCCTAGGATGGATCTATCCTGGCCCTTGGTGATCTCTTGACAGCTTTGCATAGCATTGACCATGGTATCCTGGAGAGGCTTAGGGTTTGGGGGTAGGGAGCACTGTGTTGCAGTGGTTCTTCCATCCAGTCAGTGTTGGAGGCAGCTGTCTAGTCCTAGATCCCTGCTTTGCAGAGTGCCACAGGGCTCTCCCCTCTCCTTTTTAACATCACATGAAGGCCCTGGGGGAGATCATCTGTCAGCAAGGGTGCAGTATCATCAGTATGCTGATGATACTCAATTGTATATTCTGCCCTTAGCTGATCAAGTTGTTAGATTTGTTCCAGTGTCAGGTTTATGGAGTTCCCAATGGGGATGGACAGGCTTCAGCTCAATCCTACTATGACGGAGTGGCTGTGGGTTTGGGTAGGTCCTGGAACTGGAGAGATTTTATCTTTGACTCTGAACATGGTGGTTGTACCCTGCTCGGATTCAGTGTGCAATTTAGTGGTCCTCCTAGACTTGCAGCTCCTGTTCAAAGACCAGGTGACATCTGTGAGCACAAGGGCTTTTGCACAACTCTGTTGCACCTGTTCCTGGACTGGGGGCCCTGCTCACAGTCATTCACCCTTGGTTGTTCCTGATTGAGTTATTGCAACCTGCTGTTCCTGGAGCTGCCCTTGAAGAATATTTGGAATCTTCAGTTGGTCCAGAATGCAGCAGCGCAGGTAGTTAGTTATAGGCATTCCTTATTACACCCATGTGACATCTCTACACCACAAGATGGGCTGGCTCCATATAGGTTTCCGGTTGTGATTCAAGGTGCTGGTTATCACCTGTAAAGCACTATATGGCACAGCAGTGAACGATACCTTGCCTTTTCCCAGTGGTATCTGCCTGTCCCACATGCTCCCACAGAGAGGGCGCAAGATGAAACAATGTCATCTTGTGGGACCCCACAAGAATGCCTTCTCAGCGGTGGTCCCTACCCTTCGGAATTATCTCTCCCCCCGGCCCCACTGCAGTATACAGTTGGCCCCGGCCCTGCAGGCCATTAGAAAGGTAGTTAAGATCTGGCTTTTTCCCTGGCCCTTGAGTTAGGATGAGCAGAGCTCCCATTTGGCGGGATACAACAACTTTTTGTTTTGATTACCATATAATTGTTCTATGGTATTTTATTTTAATGGTATGTGTTTCTTGTTTTCATTTAGTGATTTTTGTATGCTGCGCATAGTCACATTGTTTGAGTAGGGTGGCTGTATAAATGTCATAAATAAATAAAGGTGGAAACCATTTTACCAGCCCAAAATCAGGGAGCAGAAAAAGGCATAAGAACTTGAACCTTGATTTCATTGTAAATAGGCTTTGAATTTGATACATGTCCATTGCTGGAATTCTTATGTAATAGTTTCTTTGTGGTTCTTCTACAGTATTTCATGTTATCAGAAGTTCTTGTATCCTTCAGTATTTATCAGCTTCTTCTGTTCAACCCAGCTTGGCAGGAGAAATTTGACAATATCCTTTATAGCTATTGCTTTAACGTGTATGATTAAATCTCCAGATTTAATTTAATTTTGTTAATGCATAATTAACATCTTTTAATATAGTTAATATTATGAATAGCACTAACAGAAATACACACTTCATTGGCATGGCTACATAAATAATTTCTAATTGCCTCATTCTGCATTTAAATAGAAAAGGTATATTTAAAGGTGATACTGTTTTGATATTGCCATATAGTCTCAAAGATAGGCAAAGCTGGTCGTTCCTGGGTCTTTAGTTTGCTATCCTGGTACTGCAAAATTGACTCTGTTTATTTTCTTATGGATTTTTACTTTTTTTTCATCATGAGGAAGTCCTGGTTCAAATCTAGGTGCCCCCTCCGGAGGATTGGGATTGCCTGATTTAAAACTGCATTTTTCAGCCAGCTGTTTAGTTTGGATGAAAGAGTGGGTGCTGCTGAGAAATAAAAGAATTTTAGAATTATAAAAGCATGATCTGAGGTTTGGATGGCATGG